GCATAGCTCGAATTTGGCCCAAGCCTGGCCTGACTATATACATATAAAGATATGTATTTACATATATACATCCATATTTGTATACATATTTATATATATATATGTGTATTTACATATATATTTACATATATACATACATAAATATAGATTATTTGTATAAAATATATACATACATGTATAATTTTAGAATAGGTTCATTGGCCAATTCGAGCTTGGCCCAAGCCCAAGCCCAAGCCCAAGTGCATCAAATTACAATGTGAGCTGGGCTCGAGTTGGAAAGATTGGGTTTGACCTCGGGCTTGGTACGGGCTTGGGCCTTAAGCCCAAATCTTAGGGTTGAGCCTGGGTTTACCATAAACCCAGCCCAACACACCTAACTTGCACCCCTACCTATTGAGCAAAAAGTTCAAGGCTTTTTTCTTCTTTTCTTTAAGGGTAAAATACAAAGACCCCCCCTGTATTTTAATTTGCAACAAAGAACCTCCTAAACCTCCATCGTGCGGCAAATAGCCCCTTAACCATTAAGTCAGATGATGGAACGCACTAAATTACCTAAATACCCATCAAGGCTTTCTTAATTTTCTTTGCATTGCCCTTTTCTCTTAAAAAACCCTTTTCCCTTAAAAAAAAAAAACTCTTTTCTCTTAAATTATCAATCCAATCCAATAATTCTTAAACTACTCATTAGTGGTGGCCATCCATTACAAAAAAGGGAAAAAAAAACTGCCCCACCACCACCAGAACTGGTTTTACTTGTTAAAACTTTTGAGCCATTAAGAAATTATAAAAGATACAATCTAAAAATCTAAATTAGAATGAACTATGGAATTCAATTCTAATATCTCATAGCTAGTCATGCTCGAAGATCAAATGTAGGGAGAGCTCCGCTCTTTGCCTTGAATGATATACCGAAATCATCGATATCCTTGCAACCCTTCATGTTTTCCATGGGATAAACAACCGTCATGGCCATGCTCCCTCCATATTGAGGGATTCCGAAATTCCCAATAGCACTGTCGTGGGTACATTTTATGCTGTCAGGAAATGTTACAGTTAAGCTGTTCCTCTCCACCACGAATCTCACAATGGCCGGTGATATCAAAGAAACCCCACTAAAGACAATACTGGAAACCCTAGAGAGAACCCTACTGCTGATCTCTTCCTCTTCGTTTAAAATTTTCTCAAAAAAAAAATAAAATTTAAAAGGGAAAAAATAAAGAGACTTGAAAACGAGAGATTGCTATGACGCTATTTACATGGAGTTATTTTCTTTCGTATTGGGTTTCTAGTGTTTTTAGTTTGGGGATTAAAGAAAAAAAGAAAAGGGTAATTTGGAAATTTAAAAAACATTAAATAATTAAATAAAAATTCTTTTCTAATTTAACTGATGGAACACTAACGTAGGGGGTTCTTTGTCTAACGACTAAAATTCAGGGGTCTTTGTCACTGACCTTATAATACAAGGAGTCTTTGTAACATACCCTTTGTTTAATTCTTAAATGAAAACTAAAATTTGAAAGAAGTGGAGAGAGATGTTGAAATATCAAGTGTAATGGGTTACCCGTTGGTAACCATGACCCAACTCACCCAAACCATTTAATATCCTTTTATTGGGTTACACAACCCGCTATGACTCAGGATTAAATGGGTACAATCCAACACGTTAATTAATGGTTCGGTTGGGTGGGTTAGCGGCTTGGGTTGAAAAATTGCCACCCCTATTAATTCCTACCAGGAACATAATAGGAAAATGACTAAAACATGATGGACCAATTTTGTGAGGAAATCCGATCTCCTTATGGATTGGGCAGAAGTTGTGGGGCTCTTTGTTTTTGGTGGATCTTAGTCCTTGATGGGCCTATTGACTAGCTATTTAAAATATTGTGCTTTGTCGTGGCCGAAGTTATCATGCCATTTGAATTTTTAACGTGGGCGTGATTGGTTTTGAGTGCAATTGGATGGACAGGGCTAACTACGGTTCTTCGTATGGGCCTTTTGAGTGGGCCTTTCGTTTTTGGTGTATTTTACTAGCCTACCCTTTTGTAGATTATTTCTATTTAGATATTTTTTGCCAATGTTATAAAAAATGACCTGGAACTGGAACCGTTGGCCACCAGTTTTGGGGTCGACGGTTTGACCATTCAGTTCAAACAAATAGTCCATTCTGACAAAAAAAGTTAAAAAAAAATAAAAAAACAATAATTAAAATAAAAATGGCCAAAACCATTAAATGGGTTGATGGTTGATAGTCTGGGTCAACAGGTCATTGGCCAATTCAACGGTTTTTGGCCAGGGACTGGGTTTGAGTAAAACGGAACCGTTGCTTGGATGGTTCTTGGGCTGAACAGTCTGACCATCCGGGTCAAATGGCAGTTCGAAAACATTGTTTTCTACTTGTTCTATGAATGCGTGTTTTATCACAAATAAATTTCTTGCTTTCCATTATATAATAACCCACATAATTAGTTTTTGAGAAAATACTTAAACATACTGAATTGTGATTAGGGCTATAATCGGATCGCATTTAGATCGGATGCAGCCAATTCGCATTCGATCCAATTATTGAGAATCTACATCCGAATCTGATCTGAAATCCAATTGTATTTAAAGACTCGGATTTGGATTTAATCTGACTCCACTATAAATTTTCTAAGCATACCAGAAAAATTAAAAATTAATTTATTTTTCAACTTTTATATATAACAAATTAATATAAATATAACATACTCAATTTATCTATACTAAAACACAGCAGTCTAAAAATTTTCTTCTTTTTTTTTATTTTTTATTTTTCTATTCCATGTCATTTTTTAAACAACCAATGAGATGCTCTCCTTCCCCATAAAAAATTACCTAAAATCTCTCTATCTCTCTCTCTCTCTCTCATATGTTCCCAATAACCTAAATGATATCCTTTCCTAAAATAAATTATGGTTTTCTGGATTATTCAATTTAAGTGTTATTCAAATAATAAAAATAGAATATTATTTAAATATTTCAATAAAAAAATATTTTAAATAATAAAATCTTAAGAATAGTTAAATAATTATATAACAAAGTATTTAATATTATGCAATAACTTTAAATCAAATAAAATTCAAATAACGAAAAATTTTAAATATTTTCTATATTATTTAAATAATTAAATAACTAAATACTTAACATAACTAGATTTTTAATAATTAAAATAATGAAATTGTTTAATAAATTTTAAAAATTCTTAAAACTATAAAGATAATTATAACATAATATTCAAATTAATAATAATTTAATATTTTACAAAATTGATAACGAAATTATGTAATAATAGTATAAATTATAATTTTATGGATTATTAAATACAATGAATAATTAATTTTTTTAAATTTAAATAATAATATTATTTAAATAACTAATTTCACCTATATCAATTAATAATTCTAGAAAATAACTTTCAAAAAAATTAATATTTATTAATAATAATTTTAAAATTTTAATATATATTTATTATATATCTATATATACTAAAATTACTATTTATTGTATAATTATTTATTATTTTTTGTGATAAATATATTTCCAATAATTATGTATGAATCTATTTTTGTTTTGTTATTTAGCAGAAAATTTTCAATAATTATTGGAGATTAAACTACTATTATTTAACTTTTTAGGTTTAATTATTGTACTTATTGTATCTTTGTTAGAGATTATTAAACTATTATTTGAGATTACACTATTTATTGACTAATTTAATATATTTTTTAGTATTTATTGTATTTTCATTATCAATTTATTTTCAATAATTGTGTATTTTTTCTATAAATTTTCAATCATTATTGGAGATTAAACTATTGTTATTTATTAAATATTAGACTATTAATTTAGTTGAAATTAAGAGTGTTTACGAGTTGGTTTGGTTTGGTTGTAGGCTATTTTTGGGGAGTTGATCACCCGAAACCGATTAGTCATTATTAGTAAAAACCGACTGACTCGGGTTGTATCATTTTGGGTCGAATTTCAATTTGGTTAGTCGGTCCAAAATATTTAAGCTTAAAAAATTAAAATTGAATTTAAAAAATTACAATGGTATTATTAAAAAATAAATTTAAAAATTAATTTTATGATATAAAATATTTTAGACTAAGAAATATAGGAATTGTCCCATTTTTCCGTATTAAAAATTATATTAAAAATATAAAATATTAATATATATCTATGGTCGAGTCATTTGATTTTTGTCGATTTACAAATGGCCAAAGCAAAACTGATCCAACTTTGTCAAGTTGGAAAATTGTTGAACCAAAGTCGACAAGGAATACTAGAAAACCAACCAACTCAAGTCAGGTTGGTCGTTTTCATCAATTTGATGAACCCTAGCTGAAATTAATTATTGTTATTTTTGTATTGTAAATAAATGTTACTAATAGTATATAAAATATAAGGGAAAATCTATGATACAAGAAAGATATGGTACCGAAAGAGTTATGACCAATCAAAATCCACCCATAAATTTTGATAAATAACACCTGATTAGCTACCACGTTTATGATACCAATTGATTGGTCAAAAAAATTTCAGATATCATATCTTTCCCATATCATAGTCAAACCCCAAATATAAATAATTATTAATTATTTAAAAAGTTAAAAATATAAAACAATTGTATACTCTTGTATGTTTCTATTATTTGTCTTTCGCTTAACAAATCCCGTGCATCGCACGGGTCTCCACTAGTTGTATATATAAATTCATATATTATTTAATATATAGAATATATTTTTATAATTTTAAATATAATTATATAAAATTAATAAATATTATAATATAATAGGATTGGGATTTTAATCTGATCGGATGGGATCAAAGGTACAATTTCTTTCTCTTTAAATAGATCAGTGATAATTATCCCAACACTTATCATAATGCCAAGTTCGAAGTTCCTTAGAATCTTCTCTCTTGCTGTGCAGAGTTGGCTTCCTTGAGCAACTAGGAGGCATAGGAAAATTCTTTCAATGGTGTAGTGGCAATAGAATCATATTGTGCGATTTTAGAAAGTTCCATTTTAGTTCAGATATCACAGACATCAATGTGCCACCAAATTTAAACACTTTGAATCACATGTTCAAGGCCAACAAGCATACACTATAGCTAATAACATCAACAGAATGAAGCATGATATCCAACAGGTAGTTGGAGATCCCCCCAAATATCTATTACTCCCAAGCAATTAGTTAGACAGTGTGCTGGAAAATATATTATTTTTTCTTGGCATGCCTCTTACAGAAAGATTTTATCCTCTCCAGGGCTTCTTCAAGTGAAGATGGCTCGATAGCAAAAGTGATGCGAAGCCAATTTTTCAGTCCCACAGAGACACCTAATAGATACATCAACACTAAGTCATTAATCAATGATGCACTTAACCACTAGTCAATCCTCAAAAATATGAGAGACTAGTCAGAGGGATGAAGCAATGGCTTGTTTTGAGAAAAACATTCATTAAACCAATTAAATAGTATGTGAGTAACTACATTCAACAAGCATAGAACACATAAAGGTAGCTTAACATGAAAACTCTACTGATGCCCTCTAGAGAGGGGATCGGCTGCGTAGAAATGGCAACACAAACCTTAGATTATTGCAAATAGCAATATGGGTGAGAAAGCAGGATAACAACCCAATGAGTACACTCATATAGAAATAGATAGCTCTAAATTTATAGCAATGCATCCATGGAAGGGTTTTCATATGACTAAAGATACGAAGCAGAAGTTATTCTCACATAATCAAATAGGTGATCAACCCATTTGCTCCTGTGGTCATATTCTTTTTCTCCTAAGTTTACAAAATCCATTGTAATTCAAAAGCAAACAGCTGGGAAAATGAAAGGGCATAGAAATTGACAATGTAGCCTATAAGAATGCAAGGTAAATGCAAGCAATCTATTTTCTTTTACAAGAAATAAAAGATGCCAAAAGATATTTGTATAACTGTGATTGAATTTGATCGATTAATTCTTAAAGACTAACATTCTTCTCTCACCTGGAAGAACAATCACAGATTCCTCTTTGGCTAATTTGAAGCAAAAGTCCATATCATCCTTAATATCTTCTAGAAGTGAGAGGTCAAGCTTGACCTACATTTCAAAATATAAACAAGGAAATATTTACCACCATATTGAAGTTTCATCCACATAAATGATCCCACACTTTTCCTACAGCTCACCATTACAAACATGGACCCCTCTGGTTTGTGTGGGCAAGTAATGCAACCTATCTCCCTTATTCTCTGATAAATAATATCTGCATCTTGCCTCAATATGTCAATTATCTTCTTAAAGAAATCACCTTTTGTTTTCTCAAGGATTTGCAGAATTGCTCCCTGATAAATCAACATTTTGTCATAAACATGAAAAAGGTAACAAAAAAAGTAGATACTTTCTTTGTCGGGATCAAAATTCTGAAGTCTACAAATTTTTGTCTTAGATAACAAATAACAGCTAGAAAATGAGTATAACAATGTGTGTATTGACTACATTTGTTTGGATACTTTTGACTTGGAATAAAGATTAAACTTGGGCATCCAAAAAACAAATCATCATGAACCTTTAACCCAAGAGTATTTTAGTTACCTGGTACTTAAGATCATAAAATTGCAGACCTGTTCTATGTCAGAGTGCCAAATAAAATGCATTCACCCATATACTCATAAGTTGAAAAACAGTTGAAAACTCTTCTAGACATGTCTTCTTTAATGAATAGTTAAACCGGGTGGTCAATCTTTGGTAATTATTGTAACATACCATAACCTTATCACACAAAATATAATTCCTCTATGAACATTAAAGCATATAATGCCAACATGGCTGAAAACAGAGTTTAAAGGAAATTTAAGGATGTATCACCAAAGTAAATAACTTCTACTGTTTTAAGTTGACGAGGAACATAATTAAATATGAATAATATAAGCCATATCAAGATTTAATGAGAAAAGCTACAAATTTAAAATTAATTCTTTCAAGATATTATTTGATTACTATATTCTTCAAAATATGCAGGATTCCCATTTGCAAGAAAGCCAATTGTGTTGTATAAATCACACTGTCCATCCTATATACCATATTAACTTCCATTTCTATTTGTCTCATACAAAGATAAATAAGAAAGTTACAAAGTTCAATGCATAACAAGGACATATATTCTGTTAATTTTCTGAATATAAGGATGTTACATTATGTTAGTTAGTTCAAGCATAACATTTATTATCTATAGCCTACTATTTGAGCATAATGATATACGCCTGTTTTCAGCCATCCATAATACTTGGATCAAAACTGTAACTTATTGTATATCTGGAACTGAATACATTGTAACTCCATAGGTAAGTAAAAGGGTTCAGAGGTTTTGATTAACCAAAGGTACAGCTTTTCTCCTTCCTCAAGCCTACTGGCTTGTAGTGTCTAATTTGAATGTTATGTGATTAGTTTGATTAATCTAGGAATTATTAGATCCATAAAACTTAAGAAGCTTACTTTCCTCATTCTATGTCATGCAGGCTACAAGTTTTAATTTGTAGGTCTAGGACTGAGATCTTGGCGGCATTGGAGAGGGTGACTCTCTAAGGGCTGAGATCTTTGATAGGTCCCAGTCAGTAGCTACAAATAAATGCTCTTCTTTGGGTGAGAACAAACCACAGAATCTTTATTAAACTCCCCCTTCCAAGCTGGTTGGGTGGTGCTTAAATACAGGTAATTCTTAACTGTCTACCAGGAAGTCAGCCCCTAGTTAAGGGATTAACAAACTAACAATATCCCTGAATTAAGGGGTTAACAAACTAACAGAATAACAACTATTCGATAAGCTACTTGGCCGAGATATTCTCTCGCCGGTTATTGACTCCTTCTAAACAGAAACAGAAACAGAGAAAGTTATTGACTCCTTCTAACAGAAACAGAAATAGAGAAACAGAGTGCGTCTTATCTAATCATCACTCCAAGTATCTCGGGTTTTTCTTGGGCACCCTAACCGATCTTCTTATCTTATCATTGCCCCCCTCATTAAGTGGAACCTTGTCCTCAAGGTGCAAAGTGGGAAACCGATCCAGTAGCTCCTGTGTGTTTTCCCAGGTGGCTTCTTCGATGGGTAGCTTCCTCCATTGGACGAGGCTCTCTTCAATGAAGAATTTGCCTTTTTTCACCCACCTTGTGTCTATAGTAGCTTCAGGTTCTACAATGATTCCTCCATCACTTGTCATAGGTGGCAAAGTTGTGCTCGTAGCAACGTGATCACCCACATATTTCTTTAATAAAGACACGTGAAAAACAGGATGAATCCGGGAACCTTCTGGTAGCTTAAGCTTATAGGCAATTTGTCCCACCTTCTCTTCAATGGTATATGGACCATAGAATGTGTTGGCCAACTTTTGGCAGGTTCTTTGGAACACTGTGTTTTGGCGATATGGTTGCAATTTAAGGAAGACAGAATCACCCACCTAGAATTCAATATCGCGTCTCTTTGAATCGGCTACCTGTTTCATTCTGTTCACAGCTACATGTAAATTGGTCTTGAGTTGGTGGAGGATAGCATCCCTCGTGAGAAGTGTTTGATCAACTTCGTTGACTGCTGAAGACCCGACTTCATAGTGGGGAATGTTGGGTGGCATTCTTCCATAAAGTGCTTGGAAAGGTGTTATTCCGGTGGATATATGGTAGGTGGTATTGTACCAATACTCTGCCCAAGGGAGGAAGGAAGTCCACTTGCACGGCTGTTGAGATGTGAAACATCTAAGATATTGTTCGAGACACCGGTTTAACACCTCTGATTGTTCGTCGGTTTGTGGGTGGTAGGAGGAGATCATGTTGAGTTGGGTTCCCGACAGCTTAAAGAATTCCTTCAAAAAATTGCTTATGAAGATGGGGTCACGGTCACTGATGATCGACCTTGGCATTCCATGCAGCTTGATCACTCCTTCAACGAATTTTGCAGCTACTATCTTGGCAGTGAAGGGGTGCGCTAATGGCAAGAAATGCGCATACTTTGACAAGCGATCGATGACAACCAGGATTGTATTGAATCCATTCGAAGTCGGCAATCCCTCTATGAAGTCCATTGTGATATCCTCCCACACTTGGCATGGAATGGGTAGTGGTTGAAGGAGGCCAGCTGGTGATTGTGTGTTTGCTTTATTTCTTTGGCAAATGTCACATGCCGCCACATACTCCTTGATAACTTTATGCATCGATGGCCAGTAGAATTGCTGAGCTACTGACTGGATAACCTTAACTAGGGGCTGACTTCTTGGTAGACAGTTAAGAATTACCTGTATTTAAGCACCACCCAACCAGCTTGGAAGGGGGAAGTTTAATAAAGATTCTGTGGTTTGCTCTCACCCAAAGAAGAGCAGGTTCGAGAACGTGAAAATTCTCCTACAAGGTATACCCTTCACTTTGACTCTTTATGCATTGCCACTAATGGGTTTGGACGTGGTTCTAGGAGTCCAATGGTTAGAACTCTTGGGCATGGTAGTTTGCGATTGGAGAAAGATGTCCATGGAGTTTCAATGGAAGGGAAATTACCACCAGTTACATGGGATGGATGCTCCTCCAATCCAGGCCACGTCATTCAAGACCATCACCAAGCAGTCCCGCCAAGGATGCTCCATGTTCGCAGCCAGCCGCCTGAAAGTTCGCAGGGTACCCAAGTGTCCACCAAGGGGTGAATCATGGAATTCGTACAGGAGTTGAGAGATGATGCTCGAATTTGGAGGGATTACCACTCTGCCTTTGTAGCACACTAATCCATTTCGCCACTTATATGGTTCACCAGGATTTTCCTTCGCAAGCTTGCCAATTTTGATCATGTAAGGATGTTCAATGGCTTCGCTTTTGATAGCTTCCCACAAGGAGGTATGAGGTACGAACAAGGAGTCAAGACAGGGGCTTCCTTCTACTCTGGACAGTGCATCTGCAGCTGAGTTTTCACGACCCGGTTTATAGACAATTTCATAATCGTATCCCAACAGCTTAGCCATCCATTTTTGTTGCTCCGAAGTGGCTATTCGTTGTTCCAAAAGATATTTGAGACTTTGGAAACTCCAATGGCTCGACTCATGAAAGCGATAAGCCTGTTTTGCTGCATTAAGACCGCCCCAATTCCTCCACTTGAGGCATCTGCTTCAATCACGAATGGCTGGTCAAAATTGGGCATTGCAAGTGTAGGTGTTGTGGTCATGGCCCGCTTCAAATTGTTAAACGCTGCCTCCGCTTCTGGTGTCCATGCAAATTTTCCTTGTTTCAACAGATTTGTCAACGGTCGAGCAATGATCCCATAGTTGCAAACAAACTTCCTGTAATACCCTGTGAGGCCTAGGAAACCACGCAACTCGGAAACATTAGTAGGAGTTGGCCACTTCAGCATGGCTTGGATTTTTTCCTGGTCCACCTTAATGCCACGTGAAGTGACAATGTGACCCAAATACTCAATTTCTTGTTGGCCAAAAGCGCATTTGCGAAGCTTGATAAAGAACCTATGATGCCTTAATATTTCGAAAACCATTTTAACATGTTCGATGTGCATGGTCCAATTGGGGCTATAGATTAATATGTCATCAAAAAAGACTAAAATGAATTTTCGTAGGTACGGGCGAAAAATAGAATTCATGAGAGCTTGAAAAGTTGAGGGCGCATTACATAAGCCGAAGGGCATAACTAGATATTCATAATGGCCATTGTGGGTACGAAATGCAGTTTTATGGATGTCAACTGGATG